GACAGACGGACCGTGGAGGAGTCGGCAGTGATGGAGACAGAGGTCCTCTGGCTCTCTCAAGCGGACAATGATGCAGGCAAGAACGGAGGGCGGGGAGACAGAGATGGAGCTGGCGGAGCCCATGCTTTTTGGACCGTTCCATGGAGCACTGTGCGCCTCATGAATTACATGGTACTGGCAGTGCTTGTAGCAGAAAGGAGGCAGGAACTGCCCCGGGAGCGATGGCGCAGTGCACCCTCACCGAATTGGTCGGCGGCACATGCGGCCAAGGATGCGGTTGCACGCATCTCAGTTCTCTACACGGCAGAGCGCGACCGATGGCCGGGTAAATATTGGAGGCGGCTCTGGCTGTGGATGGTGGCTGCAGTGAACACCCCGCCCATCATGTGAGGCTGATGGGGATAGCATTTTGGGGCACAGCGCAGGACTGGACACAGCAGCGCCAACAGCAGAGATCGCGGCAGCAAAGGAGACGACGGCGGCAGCCTCTCCCCATGGACTGTGGACTTTCAGGGGGCCGTGAGTCGGCCAGGAGCTGGACAACACCGCGGGACTGGCGGCGGCGATGGCAGCAGCAACAGAGGCAACTGCTCCTCTTCACAGGTCGCGGACAGCAGGGAGGCCGCGAGTCAGCTGGGGGCGGCGCTGCAGCGCAGAACCGGAAACAGCGGCAGCGGCCACCCAAGGACTTAGTTGTGGCTCCCGACAAGCCAGATCAGGGAGAGTGAGGTGGTCATGCTTATGTTTTGTCATGTTCCTCCTCTTGTTTTGTTTTCCTTCTTTCCTCCGTTTTCTCCACCTCCTGTTGTTCCTCCTTCTCTTTCTTTTCTTCTTTCCTCTCTTCCTTTTTCATGGGATATTTGGGTGGTTGGGAGGGATTTTTGGGAAGGGTAGGTGAGAGGGAGGTATGGCAGGACTTGTATAGTGCAGGAAGCGCTTTGCGTCGGCTCTGGGCAGCATTGGGCTTGCGCCTATGTTTCTAACCCCTGCCGGGGTTTTGTGGGTTTTTTGGGATTGCGAAAGGTAGTGGGTACTATTATTATGTATGTATTATTTGTTGCCCAGCCTCCCACATAGGGGGGGTTCAGGTTCTATAGAAGGGTATTATATTAAATAAAAAAAAGTATGATTACCTAACCCTAACCCTAACCCCCCTAACCCTAACCCTAACCGTCACCTGATCCCTGATGCAGGGAGCCTCAGAGGGCTGAGGGGGAGAATCGGACTCTGCAGGATGCATCACCGAGGGATCAGCATCTCCGCTCTTGCCCCCTATGGGAAGCAATAGGCAAGCAGTGGACTTCAGGAAGTCAGCAGAGATGGGGCGGTCTCCCGCTCTGCAGGACTCCAGCGATGAGGGGCCTTCGGTGGGGGCAGGTGTGCCAGTGGGCACAGCCAGGCAGATGCCTTCATATGCCTCAGTGGCAAGTGGTGCATAGCCATCAATGTGGGTCAGGTGGGAAGAGGCCAGGGCAGTGGCACAGGGCTTCAGGGCAGAAGACTTCACATCCATCCTCACCTCAGTGGGGGTCAATCCTGACTCGAATAACTTGCCTGAGGAGGGACCATCTCTGGAGCGGGGAAACCAGCAGCTGACAGACACGTCAGGCCAGGAACACTACGTCCTCCCATTCAAATATGTGAGGTGAACAGGCGGTTTCCAGCCACATAGTTTCTTGGTCCGGGATGTCATTTCCTCACACCTGGCATTCCCACTGCCTCTCCTCCCAGCAGTCATCCATCCACCAGACTCTTATGAGGTCGACGTCTGCTTCCCATCTTTCGGGGCGTTTACTTAATTCATCCGTGGCTGCCATGACCTCACTTATATGCAGCCTGAGCAATTGTAGGAGTTCACAGTCACCATGGTGGTGGAAGGCAACGTCCATCCAGTGTTTGTGTTCTTCAGGACCCCACTGTCTCACTCCAGGATATGGCCACCTGGTTGGGGCAGTTTGGCAAAGTAGTCCTCCGTCCGGAGACGTTCCATGACAAAGTGGGCCTGTGGATCGGGGAGGTGCGGGTGCTGGTACACTTCCCACTAGGAGGTGCCTGGCGGTTACCCAAATATTTCTACCTGGGGGCTGGCAGAGGGATGACGTGCTACCCAGGGCAGTCCCACGCCACTTCAGCTGCAGGTCCTATGAGCATCACCGTCAGGCCTGCATAATGCTACTGTGCGTCTGCTGCAGTGCTTGATGGCACATGGCTGCAGCATGTCAGGGGGTCATATGCTGTAACCTCTGTGGGGTGGGTGGCCACACTTACACCATGTGCCCAGAGGCAGCGGGCCACCAGGAAGTGCACGTGGGGCATGATGGCACTCAGTGCAGGACGGGTGATGACCATCAGTCCACTGATGGGGAGGGGCATGCTCAGAGCCCGTGGAGCAGTGTGAGCCAAGGCAGTCACCCAACCACAGAGGACGGAGGCCTAGTGCAGGTGAGACAGGGACTGCCACAGGGCAGCTGTACCATGGAGGAGGAGGCAAAAGCTTCCAGGAGTGAAGGGGCACCTAGTGTCCGGAGGGGGGGACCACCCTGGGGACACGGGCATTTTGGGGGAGCAGGGCATGACAGTCGAGGCACCCAAGGGGGGGGAAGGCAACTCACCGGAGCAGACGGCAGGGACTGAGGGCAAGATGGAGTTCCTCGAGGCGGGGAGCATCCGACGAGCGTGCAGGCACCAACTACAGGTGGAGGAGGGCGTCCCGAAGAAGGCGCGTGCAGCTACAGGGAGAGGCAGTGGGATAGGGGTGTGCACGCCCTCAACAGCAACCAGCCATCTCCCCATGCCCCAGCGCAACCACTACACAGTCCTGGCATCTGAACAGTTGGAGATGGAGGGGGAGGCCCAGGAGGGGGATGCAGAGCCGAGGGATGAGTGTGACTTACCCGGTGGGCTCCAGGCCCTAGTCACACAGATGCCAGAGTTCACGGTGGTCTCATCGCCCTCCTGGGTCCTGGACAGAGTGCAGGACTCCCTGATCTGGGACAATGGGGGTCACCTCCTCCCACCTGTCACTCCCCCATCCTGGAAGGGAAGGGGGTTGACGGACCCACCGGACCCAGGCCCAGGGGAGAGTCTGTCCATCGAGAGTGTTGCGGCAGTCACTTCCGGTCCAGGCAGAGCTCCTGCCCATGGTCCCGTCATTGGTCCTGGGCAGTGAGGCAGACAGCTCCCATGTTATCAGTCCATCCCAGCTGGAGTCATTGTAAGACAACGGGAGAGACCCAGGGGAGGCCAGAGTCGCAAAGTGCTCCCCCGAGCTCAAGGGGTGGGGGGGGCTCATCTTCCACCTCCTCTCTAGTTCTACTAGGGTTAGGGTTAGGGTCAAACCCTACGTCCTCCCATTCAAATATGTGAGGTGAACAGGCGGCTTCCAGCCACACAGTTTCTTGGTCCAGGATGTCATTTCCTCACGCCTGGCATTCCCATTGCCTCTCCTCATAGCAGTCATCCAGCCACCAGACTCTTATGAGGTCAACGTCTGCTTCCCATTTCAGGGCGTTTAGTCAATTCATCCGTGGCTGCCATGACCAGCCTCGGTGGGAAAGAAAACTAGTGCCTAGGAGGGGGGTGAGAATTTGGGGTAAAAGCAAAGAGGGAAAAAAGAGGGCTTTGGTTTCAGCAATGCTTTGCTTAGTGTTA